TGCTCTGGGTGACCCTGCTTGGGCAGGGGGTTGGGCTGGGTGACCCACAGAGGTCCCTTCCAACCCCTGCCATGCTGGGATTCTGTGATTCTGTGACGATGCTGCACCCGGGCACGGGGAGCAGCATCTGTTGCAGTACTTACCATCATGAGGTATTTGGATCTGTACTGGATGGTCCCAAAAATACCCAAAATAACGGCCATGATGTGCAAAAAGTTAGCCAGGATGGGTGCCCACTGGTAGCCCAGGAAATCAAAGATCTGCCGCTCCAGCGCCGCTACCTGCAACAGAGCAAAGGAGGTGTTGCGGGGATTAAAGCAGGGCATCGGTCACCGCAGCAGCTTCCAGGATGCTAAAGGTAAAGAGCAGCCAGTAATTAATGGGAAATCCCATGGATAATTAGTTGCAGTAGGGTGAAACGTCTGCGTGATGCAGCGGCTGGCGGTGGGCGAACACGTCGTGGCGAACGAGGGCTTATGAGGAGTATTTAGAGCTGGGAAGGGAAAAGCAAGATGTCAGCTTGTCGCCCCGCCATCGCCCTCCGTGCCTCAGTTTCCCCATCTCTCGGGCCGTGGGCACTGCTGAAAATTGCCCTCCAGGCTGGGTTTACCCCTGAGCTCAGCTTATCCAGGGGAAAGCTCCAGCTCAGGTCACGCGTGGGCTCCCCCAGTATTTTGCAAGTGATTTTTGTGCCCGTCCTGGCGAGCTCATCGCGTGCCGTCCTATTCTAACGCCATTAGGTTTTGATCATTGTTATCTTTCATAAGCCATAAATAAGGACGTGATGCAGCTTAATAAATCACACGGCACGCAAAATTAGGGCTGGTAGCTGGTGTGATCTGCCTGTTAACCCAGCGCTTATTTATGGCTCTATTTGCTACCGGCTCGGGGTCTATTACTCTTAATTACAGGATTAGCTTAAAGAAAGGTGGTAGCAAAGGTGAGCTGGGAGCACCGGAGCATTCACTGATGGTTTTAAGTTAAAAAAATGGACATTTGATGAGGCAATGGTTTTTCAGGGAACTTTTAGGGAACTTCAGGGTGCGTCGGATGCTGCAGTCCCAAGGGCACAGCGACAGGGCTGCAGCGACTTGTGTCTCCAGCAGCCGTGCAAACCAAAAGACCTCTTCACATTTCTCTTTTCGGCAGCCCACCCCTGTCTCATCGCTCTTCGAGATGCCCCAGATTCACCCAACAAGGTCTGTGAGCTTCGGGGCCCCGGGTCCTCCCTGCGGCACCGTGCCTCAGTTTCCCCTCCCGGTGCAAAGCCTCTTGTCCTGGCAGAGAAGTGGGAGTTCATCCTGAAAAGCGCAGGAGAAAACGGCCTTTACATCCCCGCTCCGCTCACCAGCACCTTCCCCCGGTGACCTGGATTTAGGGGAGCTCCAGCCTGGAGCTCCCTGAAGCTCCCCCGGGGGCTACAGCCGCGGGGCTCCCCCAGGGCCCTGCAGCATCCCTGCCCACCCAGCCCGACTTAATGCGTCCTCATTACAGGGTAGAAATAAATGAGGTGGCAAAAGTCCTTTCCTGTGTTTTATGAGGATGAGGCACGGCCAATGCAACCACGCGCCGTGCCTCAGTTTCCCCACCATAAGGCATCACGCACTTATTGAATTGGCTTAGCGAGGGCTCTAATTAACACCCATTTTAGCCCAGCTCCATCCCGCCAGCAGGAGGAAAGCCAAAAGCCGAGCCAAGGACCGTGGTACCCCATCCCCTACCCTACCCCCGGGGTTGGATCTGCTGGATCCGTGCCGGCAGGATCCCAGTTCCAATTCCAGGCAATCCAAAGCCCGAGCCTGGGCAGCTCCCGGATCCGCAGGGCCACGACCAAGGCTGTTTGCGTTGAGGTTTAATTCACTCCCACGCTATTTTATCTCTCTGAGGAAACAGCCTCTGGAAATACTTACAACTGGGCCGTAAATCTTTTAAATTGAGGAATGTAAATAATAAATGATACAAGGAGAGCGGTGCTCGGGGTTTTATAGCCATCCATCGATCTGGTGGCTGTTGACAAAGCTGCGTAGCAGCAGCTAGATGGGAAGGCTGTGAGTTCTGGGTACCGGTGAGGCTCCGAGCCGCAGGATGGGGCTGGGGAGAGCCTCCGAGAGCATCCCACGGAGCTGGGGCGATGGGCTTACGTCTGTGTGTCCTTAACCGCAGGCAGACAGGCTGAAGGAGCAGGAGCTGGGAAAAGCCCGATCAAACCAAACCCTTCTTCACCCCGAGCAGAGGCAAAATCAGAGGTGAACGCCACAGCCCCCCTGCTAATGGCACTAAAAAGCCTTGCCGGACCCGCCCCGGCGGGTAAAACGCTGCTGAGTGTGCACCATGACTCGAGCTCGTTCCCTCCGCGCCGAGAGCAAAGCGAGAGCAGCCTCCTCGCGTCCTGCTTCGGGTCAGGGGAAGCACAGACACGGCACAACCGCGGCGAGGCTGCGGCTGCC